CATTCTGGGGCTCTTCCCCATAACTAATGCCCAAGACTCTGGGTTTGGGGCCCAGAAACTTGTGTTTTATAACTCTTGTGGGGAATTCTGGCGCACTCTAATGTTTGAGAACCACTAGCTATGATTCTCAAATGTTTCTGTGTACTCGACTCCTCTGGGAAGCTTTTAAGACTGCTGGAGCTCAGAGCTACACTCCTGAACAATGAAATCAGAATCTATCATTGCGTGGGACCTCTGAATCGGTATTTTGAAATCTCCCAGGTGGTTTCAGTGTGTAACTAAGTTGGACAGCCCACCACCTCATTGGATGGATTAGCTCTGTTTGTCTAGGCCTCCTGCACTATCTTGTCCTTTTCTTCGGTAACACTCATGAGCACAAGAACTCTGCTTTAAGTCAACGGGAGATGTCATGCTCCGGCACCACTGAATGGTGACAGAATGAATCCAACTGTGCTTTGATGAGAGGGTGTGTTAGAAGGATTCATTTAAAAATACTAACACCAAAGGATGTCAACATGGTGTTATCCAAAATATGACTGGAGCAATCTCATATTAGTTCATAATGAAGGAAGGTGGTCCTTTACATTGACCAAGGTTTAAAAGTGTAGGAACAATTCCCCAGAACAATCCCTCACCCAGGTAGTACAGGACCTACATCAAAACCACTGTCCTCAGTCTTTGTCTTTGTCCTTCCGCCATTCCTTCTTTCGTGTTTTTTTTCAGACACAGATGAAGTGTGTGTGTGTGTGTGTGTGTGTGTGTGTGTGTGTGTAGGTACTACAAAACAGGTGAACTCCGAGCCTCCCAATCTTTAAAATCTCAAGTTGAACACATTATTTGCTATTTTTCAGTGGCCGCTCCACTCAGGACAGACTTAATATCCAGGGATCTTATTTCCTTTTACCAATGAGATCTACTTTTTTCAAAAAGTACCAGCTGATGACTTTGGTTAAGTTCTCATTTGACTTAGAATGTCATTTGGAATTGAGGGATAAAACCCATGAAATGAAAATACGGATATTAAAATAGAGCAGAAAATGGATTATTTGGCCCTGCCAAAAAATGCATCTGTTTAGAGTAAAACTTAATAGAATGTTCTTTGGAAAAATTATCCAGGGGAAGAAACCCAAAAGGAAGCTTTTTTCCCCTTGCTTTTCAATTCTTTAACCATCAAGTGGAGTGCCTGGCGTTCCATAAATAGATGAAGGCGACTAAAAGGTTAATCTGCAGTAATTTGTTTTCAAATGTTATAATATGCTTTGCTAGTTTTGGAATATTTCTGCTGTTTAAAGACTTTAAAAATTAAAGCTTTCTTTTTGATGTACTTACCTTCTGAAGGTGTTTTTGCTTGTGGTCTGGGCACACTTCTGTCTACATGTAGGCACATATGAATGGACACGATGACATTCTTGCTATTTTTAGGTTTTTGGAAAAATAAATCTTACGTATACATTTTTAAAGTATATGGATTACCTTTGTTATATAAATAGGTCACATTCATTCTTCAATCCTTCATCTAGTCAGTCATTTCTTTCAACATCTTATAGTCATGCCTGGTCTTTTGTTAGGCCTGGAAGTATGTGACCTGATAGGCATAGTCCCCGTCCGTGTGTCACTGACCGTGTAGTGATGTCAGCAACTGTAAAAGTCATCTATGACATTCTTTTGCTTCAGGGTTCTTGAGTCATTGCTTACTTGATGTGTTTATATCTTACTTTTGATATATTATTATTGATACCATTATTATTATCTTGATACCATTATTATATATTATTATTTTTGATACCTTTTTTTCCCTGCCACTCATAGATGAACTTTCTAAACAAGCTACCTTCCAACCTTATTCCAGAGAAATTGAACATTCCAGAATCAGTTGGTGATTCTATAGTAACACAAATTAAGTGTCCATTCTGCAAAATGTCTCCTTGGAGAAAACAAAGGTTATACTATGTAATTCGTGGATTTAAAAACTTCATGGTGCTTAGAATTTACCTCCATTAAAAAGAGCAGCTCATGCAAATTTAAAATTAATAGATTCGATCCAGTTTGCCTATTGTTATTTTTGAGGCCTGTTACAGATGAGAAATTATGCAAATGGCTGTCAGGCTGCCACTACTGCACTCACCCTGGGAATGCATCATAACTCGTTTCTTAGAAACAATTATCTGGAGCAGGTCGAGCTCTCAGCCATTTGCAGGGGCATGTCCCTGCCTTCAGATGGTTCACTTTGAACTAATAAGTATTGTAAGAGGGTTGAGGGAGGAGGTGGGGAGGTGGGAAGGAAAGCAGGATAAATTACTGGGACCCTATAATCTGGAAGGGCCAGGGAAAAATCTCTGGCAAAGTTGGTTTAGCTTGGTCCTCTTGACCAGGCAGTCAGTGACCTTTGAAACTGTGTCCTGCTGCCCTTCTTGTTCTGCTCTTTTCCGAGAAAAACAGCTGGCATCAAATTTTAACCCTCTAGGCTGCCTGAAAGTTCCCCATGTCAATTCTTCTTCATCTCCTGATTATGCCTCTGGCTCTCCTCCTGGAACCAGGTCTTCTTCATATCCTGTTACATTCATTCATTTATTCATCTGGCACACAAATGGGATGACCAAAAAGTTCAGTCCAACTATACGATGCTGTAATTGTATAAGCCAAAATGTGAGCATCTTTTATGTGCACCATGAGGAATACAAGAACACAGAACACGTTATCCTTATTCTTAAGATTCTTAATGACAGTAAATGGAAACACAAAAAGTTGCACTGACCAAAGATGTACATCTTCATTCTCTAAACCGTGCTCTTGTAACTGCATTCTCTGAGTGCCGTTCCTGACTGTGCACGATAATCCTTTGTACTTCTTCCTTCACAACCATGCCTGTTTATCTACTCCAGGAAGTCATCCCACTGGAGCTCAGTTCCAGGTTGAATCGACTCTTCCTCAGAAATTACGGATGCAGCTAATGCAAAGTTACTTGGCTCTTGCTGTCTGCTGCTCTGCAGTCTTCAGCTTATTTCACAAGGGCCTCCATGCCACCTTGGCTGACCAGAAAAGGAGCTCACTGTATGCTGGCAGGCCCTGCTTTCCTGTTCCTAGCTCCTCCTCTGTCCTGTTAGCTGCACACAGCCCAGGGCATGCTACTGAATGCTGTTGAAAGTCACTTTTCCTTCCTTGGGAAGCCAAATCAGAAACTCACAGGTGCGTCTGCCTACGGGCTTTGCTTAGCGCTTGACTTAGGAAAAGAAGATGTTTGTATCATGTCTGGAATGAAGGGGTAATGCACCCTCAAGTGGGGGGAATATAAAGTTGGTGATATTATATGATGTGCATGTGGGGCTTGGGAAGATGGTTTTGATTCTGCTGCTTCTGCTGGTAGGAGACACTAAGCAGATCAGGTTCACAAGCCATTAGCATCATGTTAATCTTGGCTAGCAGGGAAGCAAAGCCACCAAGGATTTCGTAGATTTACCAGCCCCTCTCACAATAGCCGCCTGAGCCCAACACCACTTGGAACCTCGGTCAGAAAAGAGTCCTCTGGTGACAATGTGTCTGTCATACATTTTGGTCCATACACTCCTTAAAGACACCATTTTCTGGCCATGAAGTGTTCTGCTGCTTTTTGGACTGAGAAACCAATCTCGGATAAGCTGGATTCAGAAAATAGGTCATTGGTGTGAGTTGCAATTATTTTCCTTCCGGCTTGCTTCTGTGTTTGCTTTAGATTGCTTTTCCGCAAAGGGCAGGCGCAGCTGGCCTGGGCTGGTGTGCAGCAGAGGTGGGGGAGCTGGCGGAGGGGGGACACACCACCACTCTAGCCTCAGGCCTTTATGAGGCACCACCCAGATTCCTGGAGCTTCCAGCTTGCATCTATCTGCCTTTTGCCTGGGCTGTTAAATTCCCATTAAAGGGGAATTTAAAGGAGTGAAGAAATACCCTCCTTGAATATTGATTTTTCACACACACACACACACACACACACACACACACATTGTTCATAGCCACTTGATTTGCCACCTGCAGTTTATAATAGAACGGATGTGTGGGATTATAAACCACTTTATTTTGCACAGAATTTCTCAGCTTGAGGCCAAATTGAAGGGCATTAGTCATCAGTAATTTGCACTTATTTTTAATGTATCTCACTCGGAAAGGTTTAAGGCAGCTAAAGCTAAGATAAAGTTCCCCATGCTTTGGTGAGGAAGTGAAAAATCTAATCATTTAGTTAATCATTGGTCATAGCTGTGGTTGTGTATTTTTCCTAAGTGAGTGAAACATCGTGACTGATTTGTGATTTGGTAACATAGCAATTTGAATGATAGTAAATAAATTCAATTATGCCATGACTCTCCACCCCTACCCCCAATATTTGTATAGGTTTAAGGTTTAAAATTCATAGAACGTTAGAGAAGGGAACTTAGAGATCATTGGGATCACCTTGGGTGCCCTGTAAAATGCTAGTTCCCACCCTGCCTAAGATTCGGTGTCAGCAGGCCTGGGTGTGAGCAAGTACAGTGAGCAGTGCCTGCAGGAAACTTTGAGAAACAGTGATTTTCGTTCAACCACCTCATTCTTCAGAAGAGGAAACAGAGGCACAAAGAGATGAAGAGACTTAAGATATTTGCCGGGATCCCAGAAAGCTAAGCCTGCCGGGGCAGACCAGGTGTCCTGCTTTCCAATTCAGTGCAGTCCCTTGCTTTTCTTGCTCTGGAATTAGCCTGGCACCGTGCGGTTACCGGCTTTGTCCGCAGCAGCCAGACTTGGTTCCCTTCGCGAGCACGCACAGTGGGGCGAAGGGAGACCTTCCTCTTAGCCTTGCTCCTGCTTCCTGGCCTCCCTCGTCGTGGTGGGGTGCTCGCCTAGCACCTCTCCCTGCTCCTTCACCCCATCAGGGCCACCTGCCCAAATGGAGTGTCCAACGTAAGATTCAATAGCCGAGAAGCCCCACACAAACCAACTTTAGACTTTCTCTGCTGCAGCTTGGGACTCTGCCGGAAGAGCCCCTCACAGAGCTCGCCTCCCTCCTCAGGCGGCGCTCTTCCTCACTCCTGTCCCAACTGCAGCCTATGGACGGCTGCGGGGGACGCCTCGCCGGACCCCAGCCCATCCCACACACTCCCGCCCACCCGCCTCAGGGTCCACCGTGAGTAAGGTGGTTCCAGAAGATTCCTCAGAGGCCGAGGTAAACAAATGGAGCTGTGAATGGTGGGAAGGAGGTTTCCGAACTGCAGGGCGGGAAGGAGCAGGCGGAGGTTTCCCGCCTGGGAATAACAAGGGTAACCACACAGCCCCGAGGTGGCCCGGAATGCCGCGTGTTGCGCGGACAGCAAGATGGCGGTGGCGAGTGACCCGCAGCAAGGGAGAGAGGGGTCTCTCGGGTCACGGTGGGAGAAGGCTGGATCCTGTGCTAGCTGCAGTGGCATTTTACACAACTGTGAAAAAGATGGCACTCATAGCTGCGTGGAGAGCAGACTGGGGGAGGGCCGGGGGTGGGGTATTGCAGGAGGTGAGAACTGAAGTCGAGGACCGGAATGGAGCCCGAGACTGTGGGCCAGGGGGGACAAGAATGGCCTGGTCTCCTCTAGGAGGTGGCCGTGCTGTGCTTGGTTCCCTGGCGGAGGGGCCTGGCTGAGCTGGCGAGGAGTCTTTTTTCTCATTTGCTCAAAAGGCTCCTTGGTGGCTTGCGGTGGCCCTGATTGTGGGGCAGTGGTGGTGGTTGTGGCAGATACCCATATTCAGGAATTTGTATTTAGAGCAGAGCTGACAGGATTTATTGATTGTCCACAGGAGTGCTGATTAATTACTTACATACAGGTGAAATAATTTGGCACTTGTTAGAAAAAAAATCTTGCAAATTTTAAAGATTTTCTTCCCATCCATATATAGCCTTCAATGATTGGATCATAGTTTTCCATTTTGATCCATGGTGTAGCTTGTTGACTCTCTTAATCAGTTTGGTCTGCTACAATAGAATACTGTAGAGTGTGGGTGGCTTAAACAACAGAAATTTATTTCTCATCATTCTGGAGGCTGCGAAATCCAGATCAAGGTACCAGAACAGTTGAGTTCTTTTGAGAACCCACGTACTGGTTTACTTTGTCCTCACATGGTAGGGAGAGAGCACTCTCTCTAGTGTCTCCTTATAAGGGTAGGAAGCCCATTCGTGAAGTCTCCACCCCCATGACCTAATGACCTCCCAAAGGCCTCACCTTCAAATACCAGCATATTGGGGATTAGGGTTTCAGTATATGAATTTGGGGGTGATACCTATCAGTAAAAAAGTCTCATTTACCTGCCTAAAAATGCATTTCATTTGTGGAAACACTTGTACTTTACAAAAACCATGGTAGCTGAAACAGCATTAATAAATAGAACACATTCTGTAGAATCCTTATTTTTACTTAGAAAAATAATTTTAGTTTTCTGTGGTGAAATCTTATGTTCTAAGGTGAAAAGTCATTGCTTATACTCTATGGAGTAAATCAATTGTAAATAAATAAGTAGATGCAAAAATAGTATCTGTAGCAATTAATGCTTAGAGGAAATAAACAGGATAATCTGAGAGAGAATAATAGGGGAAATTACATGGGATGGTTTTAACTCATCTCCACCATTGTTTCTCAAAGTAGGTGTGGAGTTGAGTGGTAAACTTTAAAATTACTTGAGGGTTCTTGATAAAAATATAGATTCTTCCACCCACTATTGACTCAAAATTTCTGGGAGTGAGCTCAGAATATGCCTTTTAAATAAGTTGCTAAGGGATTTTTATGGGTGTGTCTGGGTCCTCCCAAACTCTCCCAACCATGGTTCCCATCTTAAGTCCCCCATTTTCCATTCTCTGCTTTTGCTCCATCTGCCCTACTCATCGGTGTGTATCCAGCTCCAGTTCCTCTTAAGGCCTGAGTCAGATGCCATCCCCAGATCCTCCCAGCTGGATGGACCGTCCCCCTCCTTATAGTTAGACTATACATTAACTGTAGTGTATAGTCTGCAGTCCATAGTGTATACTTATTGCTGTATAGTAACTTGCATTTAAGCTGTATCCTTTCACTGTATGAACCATATGCTAGGTCAGGACTGAGTCTGATGCATTTTAAAGTTTCAATGGCTTGCTCAGAGTGGGTACTCAAATATGCATTTCGTGGAATATCTGGCTAAGCTTAAGCCTAGCTCTCTTCGGACTTTGTATTTTTACCACTTGACCGTGTTCTAAATGTCTCAACTATAGTAGACCAACTTTGTACTAAGAACGGACAACCAGTTCTTTGCTCAAGTTCATGTTCTAAAAGGTAACACTGAGGAGTGATGAGTGAGAATGCAGGGATTTCTAGCCAGCCGCTGTGGATGCACCTGATAGCCTGTTTAAGAAAGGCTCCCAGTGGCTGTGTAATTGAATGAGGGTTCCCTACAACTGATGTATTCAACAAGACATCATAGATATGGTGGAAAGAGGCTTCCCAAGCACTTTGCTCTGAAAAAAAAAAAAAAAATCCATTGTGATCACACCTGCTGGAACTGAAGAAGGCGTTGCTCCTTTTTTTTTCTGCTAATAATAACTTGGACTGCTCTTAAGGGATCTTCAAGTGACACCTCCTTCAGTCTACTGTCTGCATATTCACCAAAGTAACCTAACATAAATTAGATCATGTCCCTACTGTTCAGATTCCACCAATGGCTTTTGATCTCAGTTTAAATAAAAGCCAGGTCTTTAACTTACAAAGGCTGATAAAGACCTATGTGATTTATCTGCTCCTCCTTGTCCCATATCTCTCTGATTCCACCATCTATTTCTCTCCCTTGGTTATTCCAGTGCAGCCACAACTAGCTTCTTTCTGTTCCTCGAATATGCTAAGTAAACTCCTGCCTCAGGGCCTTTGTGCTTACTGTATTCTGTATCTGGAACAGTTTCCCCCAGATTTTACTCTTGCATCTTTTTCCTGTCATTTCTTAAATGTATCCTGCTCAGTGAATATTTCCTGGTCCTGCTACCACCTTGCCTACCACCCACTCTGACTTTCTAGTCACCTTTTCTACTTTATTTTTCTCATAGAAGTTGATCGCTACCTATCATCTATATATTATTTATTTATTTATTATTTATATACAATATATTATATATGTTTATATATAATTATAATTATTATATATGATATTATACTAATTATTTATAAATATATAAATAATCTCTCTCTCTATATATATTATTTATTTTGTTGCTTTTCTCTCCCCCTACTAGAATATAAGCTCCATGAAGGTGTGGTTTTGGTTTATTTTGATCATTGTTGTATCTTCAACACCTGGAAATATGCCAGATAAGTAGCAAATGCTCATTCAATACTTATTAAAGCAATGAAGCAGAGTGGGGTAAACAAAAAGATTTAAATCCTGGCTCCCATCTTAACTTCCTTAAGCTCTCAGTGTATCAGTTTTCTTATCTGTAAAATAGGAATAGTAGTAGTTATTGCCTCTTGGAGCTATGCCATCTGGTATAGTGTCCAATGTCCAGTACTTACTCAGTAAATGTTCCCTACAATTGATGAGGTTTTATAGGTTGTAAAAAGAGTATCTAGTAGTGATATTCCTCTTTTCCAGCTAGCAGATTTTTCCAAAATGTAATAATAAATGATATATTTTGTGCTTCCTATTTGCTGGGACTACCACACAACTTTAAGTGGTGAGTACTTTCATTATTTCCAGTTATGGATGAGGAGACTTACTTACTTCCTCCATAACAACATGAGGGGTTCAAAGATGGATGGTGCTGGGTGTTCTTCTCACCTCTTTGGTGGAAGTAATTCTTTTGCTCCAGCCAGATATGGTCAGGACTCATGAATTCCCTCTCCAGATACCCATGACCCCTCTGTAGTGCCTTCAATTTATCCTTCTTACCTGGAAGCAGTGCTGGAGGATGTTTTTGGTTGTCACAATAGAAAGCGGCTGGTACATAATGAGCTGGGACACACAATTCTGAAATATATGGAATAGCCCTGCACAATGATGGGCTTATTGAAATGCCCAAAATGTCTCTGTTATTTTTTCTTTTTTGAATGTCTTTCACACAATCCCCACTCTGCTAATTCAAGGCGTATACTTTGTTCAAGGATCAGCTGAAGTCATTGCTTTGAGACTCCAACATTCAGCACTCCCTGTTTAACTATACTCCGTCTCTTCCTTTGTTTCACAAATGTTCGTTGAGTGACAGCCAATGTAAATGCAGAAAGGATTCATATGAATTAGACAGTCTCTGCCTTTATGGTGCTTGGGACCTCATTTGGCAGTTGAGATTTATTCACAAAATGACACCACAGACCGGCTTATCATATATAAGCACTATAGAGTTTCAGAGGAAAAGGAGCTGCCTATTCATGGAGGGATAAGGGAACATGAGCTGGCTCTTGAAGGGCTGGTAGGATTTGTGATTAATGGATATGGTGGAATGAACACTCTGATGGTAGAAATCATTTGGGCAAAATTACATCCAAGGATGATTCAGGAAATGACAGGGGGTTTGGTTGAAAATCATCATAATCTTGATACAGAGAAATGAAAGGAGTTTTAAGACAGGAAAGGAAGGATGCATGTATGTTGCTGACTTCTTAAATATCTGACTGAAGAATTTAGACTACAATGAATTTATCATTGAAGTCATCGCAGGTTACTTGTTTAAACAAGGTTGTAACATGAATGCATCAATGATTTTGTGTGTTTATCTGCAATGATATTTATAGTTAAGAGTGGTTATGAGTTGGGATGGTGGAATTTTGAGTGTCGTTGTCGTATTTTTCTTCATTTATTTTTCCTCATTTTCTTAGTGCTCTATGAAACTACAGCTGTTGTTTTTTAATTAGGAAAACTTTATTGGTTCTTAAAGTTCTGATTTTTAATCTTGTATTCAACAATTTATTGAGCACTTATTATACAATGGGTATTTGCCTATGAGGCATAAAAAATTATGAAGGCATGACCCCTGTTCTCTAGGAGACCCCTTGGAGAAGACCAACATGTGATCTGTAAATGTCAGGCATTGTGGTAACTGCTAGAAATGAGTATTGATACGGTGAGACCATAAAGGAAAGGTCACCTCTAATGGGAAGATTAGGAAAGGCCTCCTAGAAGAGATGGCATCTAAGCTGTACTTGAATG